AAAGAGAAGACTTCGCGCTATTTGGTGAGCCAATTAAATTGCAATGAAACGCAAGGTTAGAAAAATTCTGCCAATCCAAATGCAAAGCGGACTCTTTTAGTGGACCAGAGTGGTAGTCATCTGTGATGGGATAATTAAAAAAACAATTCCGATATTTTAGCGCGGACTTATTCAGCGACGTTCCCTGTACGGTATGTCCATCATGGCATGACATGAGGAAAAACAATGCTGTAGAAACTTGATGTGCAGGATGATTTGCTTCGTTGAATACAGGAAGGGTTTCGGACCTGTACATATTTGTGTTGAACAACATGACGAACAACACGTCCGTCAACACACTTTGGACGGTGGATTCTATATTACCGCGGCGTTGTATGGCACGAAACTACGAATAACATGTCCGGGGACACATCATGCGAAGGACAATGTGCTTCGTGCAAACAGTAGATTTTCCCATCTACGCTGCGGTTAGTGCAAGTGTTGGGTATATATTGAAAAATGCTTGGGTTTCCTATTTTGCAATTATGGTTGATGAAATGATATAGGGGAAATTCGGTATGATAACGTATGATGCAGAACAATATTTTTATTGTTAATAAATGCTATTGGTATGCTTAACACATGCAAGTCAAATGTTGAAAAACATGGCAAACGGGTGCGTAACACGTGAATAATCTACCCTTTAGTTCAGCATAATTATTTTATAAAAATTCTGAATAAAAAATAAAGTTTAAAAAACGCTATTGGATGAGTTTGCGGAAGATTAGCAAAAAGCAGGTTGTGCTGAAGACCGTCATGTGAATGGATGTGTGCACGACGTTTAGGAAGAAGGAATTCCGTGTTATGGAGTATTAGGTTTTCGTCGTTGGGGCAAAAACTAAATACTCCATAACACGGAATTCCTTAGCGGTACATGACGTTCTGGGCGTAGATTCCTTCTAATCCGGGGATCTTGCCGTCCCGCACTAACCGAGATCCCAGCCTTGGTTTTGACTCGAGACAGTGCAACGTAGAGAGAACGATGGGAAAATTGGGCACAGTTGTACTATATAGGCGTTTGTATACTCGAGAACATTGTAATAAAATAGTTTTGGAAAAAGTCCCACTCTTTGACAAGGATGCTGGCGCTTCTGATGGGATATAAATTTCTAATATCAGTCAATCGGTGTCCGTAAATCCCTTGAAAAATTGAACCAATCAACAATTGATGAACGAGGAGGTTTATACACTGGGACATTGTACTGTGTAGGTATTGACCATTTTGAATCAACCATAATTTATCGCAGCGGTGTTTTCTTATGATCAACTGTTCGCTATTACTCAATTTATTGTGGGGGGGGTAGTTAAATATCCTGGGAGTTTGCAGACTACGATTCTACTTTGCACGCGGGCATACATTACGATGAAGTCCAGTCATTTAGGTTTTATCAGGTCCAACGGCATTTATTCCAGGCTATGGCGAGAATTATCTCGCCCAACTAGTCCCAGGCTTTAAT